AAGAGAACTACAGGCCAATATCCCTGATGAATATGGATGCCAAAATTCTCAAGAAGATACTAGCAAATCGAATTCAACAGCATATAAAAAGAATTATTCACCATGATCAAGTGGGATTCATTCTTGGTATGCAGGGCTGCTTCAGCATTTGCAAATCAATCAACGTGATACATCACATTAATAAAAGAAAAGATAAGAACCATATGATCCTGTCAATCGATGCAGAAAAGGCCTTTGACAAAATCCAGCACCCTTTCTTAATAAAAACCCTTGAGAAAGTCGGGATAGAAGGAACATACTTAAAGATCATAAAAGCCATTTATGAAAAGCCCACAGCTAACATCATCCTCAACGGGGAAAAACTGAGAGCTTTTTCCCTGAGATCAGGAACACGACAGGGATGCCCACTCTCACCGCTGGTGTTTCACATAGTGCTGGAAGTTCTAGCATCAGCAATCACACAACAAAAGGAAATCAAAGGCATCCAAATTGGCAAAGATGAAGTCAAGCTTTCGCTTTTTGCAGATGACATGATATTATACATGGAAAATCCGATAGACTCCACCAAAAGCCTGCTAGAACTGATACATGAATTCAGCAAAGTCGCATGATACAAAATCAATGTACAGAAATCAGTTGCATTCTTATACACTAACAATGAAGCAACAGAAAGACAAATAAAGAAACTGATCCCATTCACAATTGCACCAAGAAGCATAAAATACCTAGGAATAAATCTAACCAAAGATGTAAAGGATCTGTATGCTGAAAACTATAGAAAGCTTATGAAGGTAATTGAAGAAGATTTAAAGAAATGGAAAGACATTCCCTGCTCATGGATTGGAAGAATAAATATTGTCAAAATGTCAATACTACCCAAAGCTATCTACACATTCAATGCAATCCCAATCAAAATTGCACCAGCATTCTTCTCGAAACTAGAGCAAGCAATTCTAAAATTCATATGGAACCACAAAAGGCCCCGAATAGCCAAAGTAATTTTGAAGAAGAAGACCAAAGCAGGAGGCATCACAATCCCAGACTTTAGCCTCTACTACAAAGCTGTCATCATCAAGACAGCATGGTATTGGCACAAAAACAGACACATAGACCAATGGAATAGAATAGAAACCCCAGAACTAGACCCACAAACGTATGGCCAACTCATCTTTGACAAAGCAGGAAAGAACATCCAATGGAAAAAAGACAGTCTCTTTAACAAATGGTGCTGGGAGAACTGGACAGCAACATGCAGAAGGATGAAACTAGACCACTTTCTCACACCATTCACAAAAATAAACTCAAAATGGATAAAGGACCTGAATGTGAGACAGGAAACCATCAAAACCTTAGAGGAGAAAGCAGGAAAAGACCTCTCTGACCTCAGCCGTAGCAATCTCTTACTCGACACATCCCCAAAGGCAAGGGAATTAAAAGCAAAAGTGAATTACTGGGACCTTATGAAGATCAAAAGCTTCTGCACAGCAAAGGAAACAACCAACAAAACTAAAAGGCAACCAACGGAATGGGAAAAGATATTTGCAAATGACATATCGGACAAAGGGCTAGAATCCAAAATCTATAAAGAGCTCACCAAACTCCACACCCGAAAAGCAAATAACCCAGTGAAGAAATGGGCAGAAAACATGAATAGACACTTCTCTAAAGAAGACATCCGGATGGCCAACAGGCACATGAAAAGATGTTCAGCGTCGCTCCTCATCAGGGAAATACAAATCAAAACCACACTCAGGTATCACCTCACGCCAGTCAGAGTGGCCAAAATGAACAAATCAGGAGACTATAGATGCTGGAGAGGATGTGATGAAACGGGAACCCTCTTGCACTGTTGGTGGGAATGCAAATTGGTGCAGCTGCTCTGTAAAGCCGTCTGGAGGTTCCTCAGAAAATTAAAAATAGACCTACCCTATGATCCAGCAATAGCACTGCTAGGAATTTATCCAAGGGACAAGGAGTACTGATGCATAGGGGCACTTGTACCCCAATGTTCATAGCAGCACTCTCAACAATAGCCAAATTATGGAAAGAGCCTAAATGTCCATCAACTGATGAATGGATAAAGAAATTGTGGTTTATATACACAATGGAATACTACGTGGCAATGAGAAAAAATGAAATATGGCCTTTTGTAGCAACGTGGATTGAAGTGGAGAGTGTGATGCTAAGTGAAATAAGCCATACAGAGAAAGACAGATACCATATGGTTTCACTCTTATGTGGATCCTGAGAAACTTAACAGGAACCCATGGGGGAGGGGAAGGAAAAAAAAAAAAAGAGGTTAGAGTGGGAGAGAGCCAAAGCATAAGAGACTGTTGAGAACTGAGAACGAACTAAGGGTTGATGGGGGGTGGGAGGGAGGAGAGGGTGGGTGATGGGTATTGAGGAGGGCACCTTTTGGGATGAGCACTGGATGTTGTATTGAAACCAATTTGACAATAAGTTCCATATATAACTAAAAAAAAAATTGCACCACCATTCTTCTCGAAACTAGACCATGCAATCCAAAATTTCATATGGAACCACAAAAGGCCCCGAATAGCCAAAGGAATTTTGAAGAAGACCAAAGCACGAGGCATCACAATCCCAGACTTTAGCCTCTACTACAAAGCTGTCATCATCAAGACAGCATGGTATTGGCATGAAAACAGACACGTAGACCAATGGAATAGAATAGAAACCCCAGAACTAGACCCACAAACGTATGGCCAACTCATCTTTGACAAAGCAGCAAAGAACATCCAATGGAAAAAAGACAGTCTCTTTAACAAATGGTGTTGAGAGAACTGGACAGCAACATGCAGAAAGTTGAAACTAGACCACTTTCTCACACCATTCACAAAAATGAACTCAAAATGGATAAAGGACCTGAAGGTGAGACAGGAAACCATCAAAACCTTAGAGGAGAAAGCAGGAAAAGACCTCTCTGACCTCAGCCGTAGCAATCTCTTACTCGACACATCCCCAAAAGCAAGGGAATTAAAAGCAAAAATGTACTACTGGGACCTTATGAAGATAAAAAGCTTCTGCAAAGCAAAGGACACAACCAACATAACTAAAAGGCAACCAACGGAATGGGAAAAGATATTTGCAAATGACATATTGGACAAAGGGCTAGTATCCAAAATCTATAAAGAGCTCACCAAACTCCACACCCGAAAAACAAATAACCCAGTGAAGAAATGGGCAGAAAACATGAATAGACACTTCTCTAAAGAAGACATCGGATGGCCAACAGGCACATGAAAAGATGCTCAATGTCTCTCCTCATCAGAGAAATACAAATCAAAACCACACTGAGATATCACCTCACGCTAGTCAGAGTGGCCAAAATGAACAAATCAGGAGACTATAGATGCTGGAGAGGATGTGGAGAAACGGGAACCCTCTTGCACTGTTGGTGGGAATGCAAATTGGTGCAGCCACTCTGGAAAACGGTGTGGACGTTCCCCCAAAATTAAAAATAGACCTACCCTATGGCCTAGCAATAGCAGTGCTAGGAATTTACCCAAGGGATACAGGAATACTGATTCATAGGGGCACTTGTACCCCAAGGTTTATAGCAGCACTCTCAACAATAGCCAAATTATGGAAAGAACCTAAATGTCCATCAACCATGAATGGATAAAGAAATTGTGGTTTATACACAGAATGGAGTACTACGTGGCTATGAGAAAGAATGAAATATGGCCCTTTGTAGCAACATGGATGGAACTGGAGAGTGTGATGCTAAGTGAAATAAGCCATACAGAGAAAGACAGATACCATATGTTTTCACTCTTATGTGGATCCTGAGAAACTTAACAGGAACCCATGGGGGAGGGGAAGGAAAAAAAAAGAGGTTATAGTGGGAGAGAGGCAAAGCATTAGAGACTCTTCAAAACTGAGAATAAACTGAGGGTTGATGTGGGGTGGGAGGGAGGAGAGGGTGGGTGATGAGTATTGAGGAGGGCACCTTTTGGGATGAGCACTGGGTGGTGTATGGAAACCAATTTGACAATAAACTTCATATATTGAAAAAATAAATAATAAAACCAGACTTCCAGGTAGAGACCCTGGGACTAGATATTCTAACTATAAACTTTTAGAAAGGCATTTTTCCCATCTCTGCTCCTCATCTCATTGCCTTTCCATGTCCTCATCAGCCTCATTCACCCCAATTTCTGACAAGTATTATAATTTTAACTCAAAAATTTTCTCAGCTATTGAATTATTGGGACTAGCCACTAAATATTACTCTCTGATGCCTGGTATTGGCAACATAAACAGATACTGCAGGCACAGTAGTAAGTATAACATCACGAGGAGACAAAGAACAGGTGATGGTAGGGGTATGTGACATGAGAAGTTAACTATCAGCTTTTCACACACACACAAATCTCATTATGATCCAAAAAATATGGTGGGAGAAAGGTGGAAGGACAAAGTTCTACTTCCTCATTTTTCCTTTGTTGCTCTGCCTTTTATAAAAGTAGACTACATGCATGTGTAGGCTTGCCCACGTATACATCTTTTATTTCTTTGTGTATGTAAACCAGTCTAAAGGAGAATGGGAATGAGATTTTAAAGGAAATTTAACCAGTATGAACAAATTATGGTAGAGAAAGGTGAGCTGACGCCCACTGGTTAAATTAACTCAAGCAAATCACCATGAGTGGCCAACTGGCAGGATTGCTTACAAATATACACAGCGCTGTTTATTATGTTTCTTGACTTATCTCATTGGTTATAAATCATGGTATCACAAACCTGGTAAGAAAGCTTCCAGGCTTGCATCTAATCCAACCTAAGCCATCTACATGTGCTAAACAAATCTGGCCATACTTTTCCTTCTCTATCCAAAGGTCACTTATGCGGTTGACATGCTTATATAATCTTTTTGGACACTATTTTCTGACTACACTACATTGGTTGCGTTAACATGGTTTTATTGGTGTTTGGTCTGCTAGGTGGAGAAAAGACTTCCTTCTGAGCCTACTTACCTCGGTTTTCATCCTCATTTTCTTCCCAGGGCTCTTCATTTGCTAGCAGTGGGTTCTGTGACTCATTCATAGATCTCATAGGGAAGGAGTGTCCATCACCAGGGCTATTGGGGAAAGGAAGAGTGAGCTCTTGCAGCTGACATAGACTTTTCATGAATGTTATAGCCCTCCTAGAAATAGGAGGGTGTTCTTAGAAAGATTTAAACCATTTATCTTATTGGCTAAAGCCATGGTGGCATAGGGTTTTACAATAGCATCATTTAGTTGCTGTATTGCTCTCAATTTCTATATCTTGTTTGTCTGCATCAGTGTCAACTGTTTTGGTTAGTAAGTAACTGTTTAACTTGTTTCCCACAATGCCCAGTTATGGCAAAACGAACATATAGCAAGCTTCATATGATTATCCCAATTTATATCTCATTATCTTATTGCTTGGGTTCCAAATTTTCAACAAAAATTAGCAGATTCAGAACCACTGATATAGTGGAGATCAGCTGCTGTGAACTGCTGATAAATAGTAATGTCTGAATGCCCTGTTATTTGGCTTGTATGGTAGAAAGGTTATTAGGAACTGTGGGAAACAGCCAGAGTGTGGCATCTCTAAGAGTGCAGATTCTGGGGGCAATTACCTGCATGTGGGATCCACTTGTAGATATCTATGGCAGCCTAGGGCCATCTCCTTGGTTTATCTCTGGCCACTAACAGTTGGGATGCATTGGAAGGAACTAAGTTGGTCCTGAATATAGTGGGCTACAGTTTGAACATTTGATTATACATATATCTCAATGTGTTGCAAATTTATATCTGAGTGACTCTTGGATTACTCATTTTATATTACTTACGCCTTTTCTCCTGTTCTTAATTGTGGTTAACTGAAAGTTGATAGATTCTATTGATAGCTCTCTGCAGAGGATGTAAGTATACTGATTATAAGTGAATTGGCTTTGATTTTGGCTTTTGATTTTTTATTCCAGGAAAGACTCATTTTAGACCTCCCTTTGATGTAGTGATAGGGTGTGTGTATTTGTGTGGGTATGTGTTTTATTGGAGTGAAAATAATTGCTGGTGACAATTATTAATCAACCTTACCCACCAACATAGTTTTGTCTTGTGCTTTATAGCCAGTATAGTAGGATATACCACAGATCTTAAATAAATGAGCCTGTAAAACAATGACTAGTACAGAGGAAGTATCAGAGCAATGAGTAAAGGGAAAAAGAAAATTTTCCTTAATTATCACCCTGTTCCAACAAAGTTTCCTCAAATAAGTGAACAGACAGATGTATCCCTCTCTGAAGAATGGATCTAAAGAGAGCTTCAAGACAGTATAAATAAGCTTTGCTACAGAGACAGTTCACTTGGTGTTAGTTCAATGTGGTTCACAAAGTCACTCAGGGGACACAAGCTTGTCTTCCATTCACTGCTTTCCTTTCATTCCTGCTTCAGTTCTAAGAATTACCTACAATTTCTACATCAATGTTTGTTCCTGCTTTTCATTTTAATTACCTTCATAAAAGTAATACAGACATTTCACCCCAAAATATGAAAATGGAGACAAGAAAAATATTAGATTACTGCCCTTTCCATTTATCCACTTATAGTATTTTTAGGTTATAGGTCCCCTATGTTTTTCTTATGTGTATATCTGTACATATTTTTATTCAGAGTAAAAATCAGTTGTATTCTACATTTTTCACTTAAAACATAGTGAGCATTTCTCTTAATTGTGTCATAGTCTTAACATAGTCGTACTTTTGACTACATAAAATTCCAGTCAGTGGGGATATATACAGCATATTGTTGCATTTTTAGTTTAGATGTTTACTAATTATTGGCTGGAAATAATGCTGTGATGAATATTTTTGTGCCTAGTTTGTTTTTAGGATAGATTTTTAGAAGTGGAATTACTTGACAATGGACATGGGGATTCTTGTGATTTTTGATATATATCACCAAATTCATTTATAAAGGAATGGTATCAGTTTACACTACTTCAAAACATGAGAATGTCTATTTATCATACCTTCACTTCCTAATTTCTCTTTACTAATCTAGGAATAAAAAACTTGGGGAATAGATTTTTCATTGGACTTATGACTGATTGCATACCACAATTAAAATTGAATTTGTTACTTCAAGGCATGGTTCAGCCTCAGCTTCTTTTAGTGGTAATAATTACTTACCTGGACCCAATAGGTATTAACCAGAACTTCTTGTTATCTCCAAACACCTGCTGGATATTTTTGATGAAGCCAAGGTTGAACCCATTTTTCTCTGGGCCGCTTGTAAACACTGGAGTACAGAAGGCCTCTAGGGCAATATAGGAAGTTGAAGAGGAAGAAAGCAATAAAGGAACAAATGTCAGGACGAACATGATTTTATAGTACACCATGAATGTTACTTGATTCTACACTATATTTTTGCTGTGGTAATATAGGCCTCTCATGCTTAGTTATTGCTAAATTACTTAGTAAAAACCAATTTAATCATGTAATAAAAGTAATTTTGTTATTAAATACAAATAATTGGTACTCTTTGAAAAAAAAGGCAGAAGAAACACATAATGGTAGAAATAATTAATCAGCGATGGCAGTACTACATATTTTGTGCTGCTGGATGTAAGGAGTGAAAGGACAAATTTAACAGTACTTTATTTGAATCTAAATGGCAACAGCAGCCAAATGGTCTCCCTCTTTAGAACTGGAACTAAAGTAATGATGCATGAAGAGATGGTAATGACATTGATTTGATTTGGAAACATTTCAGAAATGATGTTTACACTGAAACCTGCAATGTAAGAAACTGAGTTTTACTCAAGAAAAAATGTCAGTGGGTGAACTATAATCACCTCAAAGACTGAGGAATTGGACCATGTTAGTACACATTAGTTTTAGACACACATTTATTCCATTAAGCAAACACTTTCACTGTTGGACTGGCTGCATCTAGCCATTTCCCATTTGTTCTTTTGTTATCCTGAAGCTTTTAGTACTTTCCTACTTTGCAGTTATGTCTAAGCCAAATGAACTGACATACCACCCTAGCAAGTAAGTGCTAGATATTTGGTTTAGAAAAGGAGTGTAAATACTTTCTTAGCTGTTAGCATTATTGGTAAATGGGTTCCAAATGTGAAATGGCTTTTGTACTAAACTTTCCTCAAATATATCTTAGCTAAACATTCAACATTTGGATACTTTCTCCTTATTCCTCATGCATTAATTTGTATACAATGTAAATATTTGTTTCACTATAGATGAAACAAAATTGTTGCACTGGAATCCATCAGAAACACAACTCTCCAAATAACAGATGAAAGAATAGAGTAACAGAAAAAATGTTCATTTCTTGCACTAATTTTCTAGAAACTCACTTGTTCAGTGTATTTATCTCATTCCCAGTCCTCCACAGCTCCTTGATGATTGTAGATATCCAATGATTTGTTGGTTTGAAATCTTTCTCAAGACTCTTTTTTTTAATTTTTTTTTAATATATGAAATTTATTGTCAAATTGGTTTCCATACAACACTCAGTGCTCATCCCAAAAGGTGCCCTCCTCTATACCCATCACCCACCCTCTCCTCCCTCCCACCCCCCATCAACCCTCAGTTTGTTCTCAGTTTTTAACAGTCTCTTAAGCTTTGGCTCTCTCCCACTCTAACCTCTTTTTTTTTTTTTCTTTTTTCCTCCCCCTCCCCCATGGGTTCCTGTTAAGTTTCTCAGGATCCACATAAGAGTGAAACCATATGGTATCTGTCTTTCTCTGTATGGCTTATTTCACTTAGCATCGCACTCTCCAGTTCCATCCACGTTGCTACAAAAGGCCATATTTCATTTTTTCTCATTGCCACGTAGTATTCCATTGTGTATATATGTCCATCAACTGATGAATGGATAAAGAAATTGTGGTTTATATACACAATGGAATCTTTTTTTAAATTTTTAAAAATGTTTATTTATTTTTGACAGTGATAGAGAGACAGGGCATGAGCGGGGGAGGGGCAGAGAGAGAGGGAGACACAGAACTGGAAGCAGACTCCAGGCGCCAAGCTGGCAGCACAGAGCCAGATGCGGGGCTTGAACTCACAGACCGCGAGATCATGACCTGAGCCAAAGTCGGACATTCAACAGACTGAGCCACCCAGGTGCATCTCAAGACTCTGTCTTTGGATGCACTCAATAATTTAGATTCTTCTATCTTTATTAACCTTCACCTCCCCTTTCTGTACTGTTGTTGTTGTTTTTTTCTTCACTTCCTCAGGTGAACACCTTTTAGAAATTTTGCAAGTCATAAATTTGGGGAGCTATAACCCAGTATCAATTATAAAGAGCAATGGTCAATTTTGTTTTTCTGTGAGGTTTCATTTAATAATGCTTTCTTTAGTTTGCAAGCTTCATTCACTATGGCTCTCCAGTTTGGTAAAACATGTTTACATCTGTCTCAGTTTAGAGGCAAAGGAACGTCACTAAAACTAAAATGCCTCACTGGAACTTTTTCTTTTCCTTGAAAATAATCTACAGGCTACTATGATATACATTAATGTGTTTTTTCCCTAGTCTTAATATCCAGTCTTACCTAAGGTGGTTTTGTTTCTGCTGACAAGCCAACAATGGTAACCAAAGAGAATCACAAGGCTGACAAAAAACATGCAGGCCACAAAGAGGAGAAAAAGAACATGGAACTTTGAGCGAACACTGGGCAATTCCCCCTAGAAAAGAAATAATAAGGAAATAGAAACAAAGGATTAAACTTTTCAGGTTTAACTAGTTTTTATATATGTTAGCACTTTTATCATATGTATAAAGTGTCTAGCTGCAATTAAAAAATAGATTTTATAAAATTTTTATGAGTTCTTTCTGTTGATGACCATACCACATTATAGATATGCTTCCAGCCTATAAATTATAGCCTAAAATGGATCCTTGATTAAGTTCAGTGTAAATTAGAGTATATAATGCAGCAATTAGAGCAGTTTAAAAAAAGGATATACTCAGGTCATAATTGGCATGCAATCTCTTAAAGTTTGTACTACATTTAGTTTGCAAATTATGAATCATTTGGTCAGAGATGATCTTGAGGTCATCCTCTTGTCTCAAGATGGGTTATTCTGAAATACTTTATATGTCATGTTTCCTTGAATATATGTGTGTTGAAAATGTCACAACATATGTATGTTGAAAACAAGTTAAGACATATAGGTAGAATTTTAAAATATTCTACCTATAAGTTATAACCTGATTTAAAAGCTACTGTAAATTTTGTGTTGTTCTTTTTTATAGCTGAAATAGAATATGCTGGTATATCACATCCTGTGAAATAGCTCTTTAGACATTAAAATCAAAGAGGATTTGACAGGCAATTGTAAAAGTAGGTAGCTAATGACTTTTATAGTTTATCTGTGACATCTTATTTTCTTTTTTTACATGCAGTCCTAGACCAGAATAAATTTTCTAAAGTTTTATAGCATGCACGGTGTATAAATTTTGTCTTTTGAAGAGAACCTTAGAAAACATTTTCAATTTTGGGGTGAGCAGTTGAGAGAACTTGTGATCATTGTTTTGGCATGATGAATTGCAATAAAGTATTTCCCAAATGCTCTTGAGTAATAAAGTTAAAGGTGATACTTGATTGAAGTGGACCATAACATTAGGATCTGGTTCTACTTCAGTTTGGAAGGAAAAATTAAGACTTGAAAACACTTGGCAAATTGACATAGCACAGATTTTTTTTCTTCTCATAAAGAAGATTTTTATTCATTTTGATGTAAGGAAATGTTAAGGATCTTTCAGAGTGCATATATGTGAAGGATGAAGATAAGGGGAAGTCAGGCAGTCAGGTTTTTTAAGCTGAGCAGTGGTCTGAGTGAAATTTGCATGTGGGCAGAGCACCCCAGGAAATGGATACCTCAAGGACTTAAACCTTCAGGCAATTTTATCTGAAGCTCCTTTCTGAAATGTTCCTTCCACAAAATCTTGACCCAAGCATGCAAACTGAATTTGATTGGTTTGTGTTTGTTTTTTGTTTTTAAGTTTTCTTTCTTTCTTTCTTTCTTTCTTTCTTTCTTTCTTTTGAAAGACAGAGAGAGAGACAGAGAGGGAGAGAGAGGGATGGAGAGAGAATCCAAAGCAGGCTCTGCACTATCAGCGTGAAGCCCGAAGTGGGGCTCAAACCCACAAAACATGAGATCATGACCTGATCTGAAACCAAGAGACAGATGTTTAACAGACTGAGCTACCCAGGTACCCCTGTGTTTGTTTTGTTTTAAATTTATGGAAAAGATTTTATATGTTGTTTTGTAGTGGTTTTGGCCTAGCTGGGTTTTTGCTTTCATAATCTTTGCTTTTTGAGTATATTTGTTAAAGTTTTAAAATCTTACACTTATTTTACTTCTAATCTTTCATGTTTAAATGGGCAATAGGAAATGTCTATGCAAGAGGGATTGATAGAGTCAGTTCACACCCTGGTTGGCTGAGCTGGAAGTCTTTTCCTCTCCTAATTACTTTTGCAGAATTGTCTTTTTTCTGCCAAAGGATATTCCTTGATAAAGTCCTTTTTGTTGTTGTTGTCGTTAGAAGAGGCTGATGGTCCTATGTTCAAAATTACCTTCTCAGGAGATAACCAATCTAAATTACTCAAAGCAGTAACCACCAGAACAGTTCAGGGGAATATTGGTAGAATAATACTACTATCTTGGTTCTAAAATAATTCATAGTCTCTGTGAGGAGATTCATGGCCCACTGTGGAAAGTGTATATTACTACTTTTTTCATAAGGCAAATATCAATTTCATATAAAGTAGCTACACTTTAAGTTAATATATATAGGAAAAATATGCTCTGATGGTCTTCTGAATTCTTTATTTCAAAGGAGCTATAGCTTTTCCATAGCAGGACCATAATGGGCAATAGTATATGGTACAGTGTTTAAAATCATTGGGCTTAGCGTGAGACAGCTTCTAGTCCTGACTTTGAAACTTACAAGCTGGGTGATCCTGAGCAAGTCACTTAAGAACAATAAGCTTCAGTTTTATCATTTTTAAATGAGACTAACAATTCTTGTTTGGTGTACTTTACAAGGTTGTGGTGAGGATGAGATAATAGATATTAAAGTGTTTTGAAAATGGCAAAGTATACAAATGGGGGTTGCTGTTCTTAGAACTGCTAGTCTCCTTGATACATGGTTTTTAAAATATATGGCAGTGTTTACTTTTCATTTTAAGGTAAGACTCAATTTAAACTGAGAAAGCCATCTCTAAACCACACCAAAGTGCTTTATGGCTGGAGAGACTACAAAGAAGCATTTCTCTCTATTGTCAATTCACTTTTCATTATTAGGAGAAGCCAAGACAAGTTTTCTTACATCCCATCTGTCAGGCATGAGCTAGTCTACTATAGAGAAAAAAATGAGGGACTAGGAGAAGGACAAGGCTATGTTCATCTTGTGATTGTGAATACTGACATATTTCTGGTAATTCATATCCAAATATTATCTTTCAAGAGTAAAAAAAACACACAGCACCTGGAGGGCATTGTGGTATTTGATTATTGATTGACTTGGAGGGTTAAGGCAAAATATATAAAATTCAACATTGTTTACTTTGTTATGAATTCTTAAATAGTAGCCTATTGTGTTAAGGACCAAGTAAGGTCTGTAGTGAAGACCAAGGCTGACACTTTCCCTGCTGAATTGGATACAGATTTTCTTTACATTCAGAGTAGTAGCTCAGTGTGTAAATGGGATGCCAAACAGGTCATGAAAACCTGAGCAATAGAGAAGAGATCCTGTGCTGTGGAAAGGAGCCAGAACCGCCAAGATAGTGAAATATTTTGTATTTGGGGAAAATTTATGAGAAAATTTCATTTTTGCTTATACTTTTGTATCTCTGAGTTGAAGATTTTGATATCCATTATATAATTCCTGATTCTTATAGTTATTAAATATCTGTATTGACTAAGCAAGTTGAAGGGAGAATGGAAAGCACATATCACTATAATTTTCTACACTATATTTTCTACACTAGCAGGGATCAAAGCCTTAATTAACAATTTAAATATTCTCAGGTATTTAATTTCTCACTGCCTTGTGTTTCTCCTTTGTTCTCCAGTTTATTATGAACTATATTTTGGTCGCAAGATTCACATTCTTTCCCGCTGCTTTACCTATTCACCTGAGGTGAGATATTCCTGTTTATATATGCGCTTGTGCAATTCCTAAAGTAATAACTAGTAGCTTTGTCCAAATCTGTCTTTTGCCATTTAGGTTTAGTTTGGACAGCCCTCATCATGGGAGGTTATGATATCTTCACTGCTGTACTAGAGTTGTGGGGAAGGGATATCTTTTGGAGTCCATTGGCATGAAATAAAAAAAAAATCACTACATTGCTGCCAGACCCCATACACATATGTAAATTAAAAATCTGCCTTTAATTCTTTTGAAAATAGATAGGTTATGGTTGAAATCTTTAAGTAGAAGAAATATGAAATGTTTTTTAGATTTCACTATAATTATTGGAATCATATTTTGAAAGGTAAAGTACTTCCAACATACATTTCATTTGATCTTGGAAATGAGCCAGTGAAACAGGTAACAGAGCCAGTATTAGAACTCAGTTTTCCCAATTCTCAACCCAGTGTTTGTCATACAAAGTTCAAATAATACAAAGTTCAAATAAGACTCTCCTTTTCATTTTGGTCACATGTGAAGAAGAGTCAATGAATCTTTCTGTTCTGCAGGAATTTTGCAACTCTCCTTTGAACAGGAAGTGAGAAAGTATTTTTCAATGATGAGGGAGTACTTTGTTAGCCTTTTCTTTGGAAACTAGAGATTCAAAATTAGTTTCAACATTTTAAAAATCTATAATTGGTAATAAGTGGATTTTTATAATTTGACTAGATAAGTAAATTGTAATGCATGACTGAGAGCCAAGAGGTTATGTTCCTAAAGGTCTTAACAAGCTTCTCATGCATGACAGAAATATGTAAGTGGAATCCTTAAATAACAAACTCCTAAATCTCAGAATATTCAACATGGGAAACTTGTTTTTGGTGCCTTTCCTTCTGGTTACCTTAGTATTAGCTATTTCAAAATGTAAAAATAAAAGTTGAAAAAATGTCACAGATTGGAGTAGGTATGTGTTTTTTCTAGGGGTGACCTGTCATGATTATTTAACTTACTCTCCAGTATTTGATGAAATAGTTGAAGACTGTTGTAGCAATGTACAGGCAGTAGAGAACAGAATAAGCTAAAAACTGAAGAAAGAATTTGTAGTTGGAAAATCCAATGCAATTATTAACCCTAAAAAAAGAAAAAAAGAAAAACTAATTTGAAATCAGGATCCATTGAGAACACACTGATACATAAGTGAACTAAGCAATGGAAATACATAACTCCTGCTGCTTCATTATGTGTTGTGTAGAAACTCAACATAAATAGAAGTGCCTTAATAGGAACAGACTGGAAAAACAAGTTCATGTTTCACTTGTTTCTCCTTTCATTTACAAGCACAGAGACACCTGGCCTACTTAATAGTTCCAGACTGGTTCCTGACACACACAAGAAAACTTGAATCTTGGATGCTGAAAACCTATTACAATCTCAGCAGCTACACTTAGTACAGTGAGGCATGTTCTCTTTTTAGTTGGACAGTTCAGACTGGTTCTGTAGGTCAGACATACAAAATTTGGAGAAGAATTACTGAAGTTAACAATCTAGAATATTTCAAACTCCAAGATAGCTAAAAACAGAACCGAATTGTATGTCAAAGAAGGGAACTTTTTGTGCTCAATTTCATTACTACACCCAATTACTAAAGCTAATGGACAAAAGACTGTGAGCTTTGTGAGCCCATGAATTCACCACCATACCTTTGGTGGTATATTTATTTTTGCTTTAAAATGTCATGCCTCCCCTCCCCCACCCATACAAATACAAAGCCCAGTGATTTATGGTTGTAGAAATAAGCATGTTACAACTATGCTTAGGAAACTATGCATTTTAAGCAACTCTTACTCTTTCAGCGGAAAGAAATGAATCAAAGGGACATACCAAGGGCAATGATGGTCCATTTTTAATACACACCTACAAAAGAAACAAAGTACAGTGTGATAAGTGGACCTATAGAAATGAAGTAACACCTCATAATTTAACTCAAGATCTCACTAGTATTTTTACATGGTACCAGTACACTCATTCCTAGATTTCCAATATACATTATTCCCAAACTATTTGGACATCAATTATTTCTAGGATAAGCCAATTGGAACAGTTTATAGAATTATGCTGGAAGCAAGTTACATGCCTAGAAGTCTAAGGTATCTCCCCTCATTTTTCTCAATATACAGATTAATAAAAGTACAGAAGAATACATATGGCTACAGTCTGTTAAAAAAAAAAAAAAAAAAACAACAAATGGAGACCATCCTTGAAACTTTCCTGAGCAGACAAAACTAGTTTAGTCATACAAACAAACCTTAATTTAGCTTATTTGGTAAGACTGACTTGACCTGGGTCATTTCTTGCTTATGTCTCTGGAAATCATCAGCAATACTTAAGCTGTTTTCTAAGGTCGATATAAAGTAACGATTTACCAAGTCTCTTTCATTTAAGAAAATTCTAATATTTTAACTAATCACTGTGAATATTAAACAGGCCTTGTTTTCCACTATATAAGCTGTTTTATAACGATGTACCCAAAGTCTCATTTTATGTTTTGGTTTGAGTGCTCCTGGTTTGTAAATCGTCTTTTTGTTGTATGCACAATGAAATTTTACTAATTACTACTCTGATGATTTATTTGTTTTACATTGGCTATTGCTGAAATTTTGACACACCTGTTTGAATCAAGGGCAAGAGAAATGTGGGTGGAACATACACCCAAGAAGAAGGACATGAATATTATATTTATTAACATAAAAATATGATTTTATAAAGTGGGAGCAATTAGAGTAAGAAAATAAAGTAGAACTGAGGTACAACCCAAAATATAAAGTGATTATCCATGCCTAAAAACTTATATGAATCATAAATAAACATATAAGGGAGAAAAGACAAATCTCCCATGCACAGATTTCTTCACATTATTTGGAAGAATTCCAAATAATTTATGTATATACTCTGCCTTTAAGGAGGGGGGCATAATTCCTCTGTTCTTTAGTGTGGGCTATATATAGTGACGTCCTTCCAAAGAGTAAAGGAAGGGGGGGGGAGGAAGAGTAAACTTACATTAGAGAAAACTGACAAACACTGTCTCAGACAAATGAACAAGATTAATATTGCAGTCATAAGTCATGTTCATAGTGTGTGCCCTTGATACAATACAATGATAATGGTACTTTACCTCTATGGTCTTCCTACCCAAAACACAGTACCCAAGTCTAACCATGAGAAAAATATCAGACAAATCTCACCTGAAGGATATTCTACAAAATACCCGATCATTAATACTAAAATCCTAGAAACTATCATGGTTATTGAAAACAAGTAAAGTCTGAGAAACTGTCAGAGCTAAAAGACCTTGAGAAGACATGCCAACTAAATGTAATGTGGTATCCCAGATGGGATCCTAGAACAGAAGAGGAACATTGGAGAAAAACTGTGGAAGTGTAAATAGAATATGGGCTTAAATTAGAAATAATGTATTGATGCATCACGTGGGTAGCTCAGTTGGTTGGGTGTCCAACTTCAGCTCAGGTCATGATCTCATGGTTCACAAGTTCAAGTCCCAAGTCAGGCTCTGTGCTGACAGTTCGGAGCTTGGAGCCCGCCTCGGATTCTGTGTCTTCCTCTCTCTCTGCCCTCCTCTCTCTCTCTCTCAAAAATAAATAAACATTAAAAAATTAAAAAATAATGTATTGATGTTGGTTCATTAATTGTAACAAATGTATCACATTAATGTATGATGTTGATAATAGGGGAAAATGGATGTAGGACATATGAGAACTATAATCACAATAATTCTGTAAATCTAAAACTGTTTATAAAATAAAACATTTATTTTTAAAATGGGGTTTTATATATTTTTCCTATCTTTGGAATAATTTGAATCATCATCATCCCAAGAGGGTGCTTGGCATGTGCTCATTATGATTGAAAGGAAATGTTCTTATCTAGGCATGGTCACATGTTAGCATCAGTCATTTTGATGTCTAAGCAACCATCATCACTGGCCAAGCTCAGCCCAGGGGAAATATGGATGTCACTTACATGGCACAGACAGAGCAGTGGTGGCAGCGATCTGGCTTGATTAAATGGCACCGGTCACAGAATCTAACAGCTATAGGAAAAATCAGGTGGTTAGCATTGGTTAGGGCTCAATATGACACCACATATCTTACTAGCCTATCTGAATGGCTTGTTATACACTGATTGTGGGTAGTCAAACTCATTTCAAGTTACCAAGAAAAAGGCAGATCACAGAAGAGAATTGTGGTATGTATTTTTTCTCCTGTTAGATCAATCTTGAAGGTACCTTTTGGGGGATGAAGGTGAAAGGAAATGTTTTCATATCTGTATATATGATAATAAGATTCGGTATTATAAAACAAACCTTACTGTCAACTGCTTGAGTGATCTTGGGAAAATCATTTAGATTGCTTACTCCAACTTTCCTATCTGAAAACAATTAATTCAATTGACCATTTCACAGATAAATGAAGTAAAGACTTGAACCAATCAAGTGACTTACTTGCACATAGCAAGTGAGTGGCAGAACTGTGACCACTACAGTTTTCTGACTCTTTAGTTCATTCAGGGCCCTCTTCACTCTGTAAGTCTGATATAAAAAACACATTTCTCTTTCCCTTTTTCCTTCCTTCCTTCCTTCCTTCCTTCCTTCCTTCCTTCCTTCCTTTCCCTTAGATGAAAGGCATTTTCCTTTTCTACTCATTTTTTCTCTGTTCATTGATACAGTATGACTGTGTTTAATGTAATTATTATTAAGTGTAACAATTAAAATCATGAATAATTTGGGGCGCCTGGGTGGCGCAGTCGGTTAGGCGTCCGACTTCAGCCAGGTCACGATCTCGCGGTCCGTGGGTTCGAGCCCCGCGTCAGGCTCTGGGCTGATGGCTCAGAGCCTGGAGCCTGTTTCCGATTCTGTGTCTCCCTCTCTCTCTGCCCCTCCCCCGTTCATGCTCTGTCTCTCTCTGTCCCAAAAATAAATAAAACGTTGAAAAAAAAATTAAAAAAAAAATAAAATCATGAATAATTTGAGCTAATATAATAATTCCATCTGAAGTGTACATTAAGCACACATAACTAATTCAGCATAAGTGAGTGCTAATTTAGCAGTTTGTGTTTATTTCTAGCAATGGAGGGGTGACAAAAGCATGGGTATAATTGAGGCAATGAAGAAGGGAGAGGGTCATGCATGTTTAATTCATTTAGCATTGAACTGAACAGTCAATGCCATTGCCCAGTTTAAGCCGCCATTATCTCTCATTTAGATGATCGCAATAGCTGCCTAATTATTTACTCTGCTTTCATTTCTGTTCCCCACAATTCATTCTTTATAGAATAGCCAAATAATCTGTTAAAATGTGAATCAGATTATATCACTCTTCACTTGAAACCTTCAGTGTACTTGGGGTGCCTGGGTGGCTCAGTTGGTTAAGCATCTGACTTCAACTCAGGTCATGATCTCACAGTTTGTGAGTTTGAGCCCCACATCAGGCTCTGTGCTGACAGTGTGGACCCTGCTTGGGGTTCTATTTCTCTCCCTCTCTCTCTGCCCCTCGCCCACTTGTGTTCTCTCTCTCTCTCTCAAAATGAATAAATAAATAAATAAGTAAATAAACTTAAAACACCCTTCAAACACCCTTGGAATAAAATCCACATTCCTTTCCATGGCCTGAATCATCTGGCCTCTGCTTGGCTTTTCAATTTTAACTGGTATCACTCTCCACCTGCTATACTCTGGTCACACTGGCTATATGCTTGTTCTTCTAATACTGTAAGCTTGCTCCTATCTAAGGGCCTTTTGTACTTGCAGTACCTTCTGCCTGGGATGTTAGTCCCTCTGTTCTTTATTTCCTGCTAGTTACTTTTTTATTATTCAGGTCTCAAATAAAATGATATTCCTCAGAGAAAATTTCTTTATGTCATTAGGGCGGCAAACAAATGATTCAAGTGTCCAGAGAATAGTTGGTAGTGAGTGGAGCAGCCAGTTGAAGACTGTGAGAGAACCTGAGAATTCATGCCCTGTTTAAAAAGAGTTGCTACTACTCAGCCTTAGATAATTTTTGCCACGCGAAAATGTAATTGAAAATTGCCAGATGTCTGAGTTTTCAAGAGAAGCCAGAAATACGAACTTTCATGTGGAAAATTACAATTGTTAAAAATTAAAAACAAGTGCAAAGTTTTTTTTTTCAATTCAACAAATATTTATTGATCTGTGAATAGTGCCCGACGCTGAAAAAGGTACTACCAATACAAAATTCAGTATGAGATGAAGCTCCTTGCCTTTAACTGGCTAACAATCAAGGAAGGAGAAAACACAGGAAACCAAATAATTATAAGATAATATAAACAAGTGCAAAGTTTTAAAAGATACATTAGAGATCAACAAAATGTATCTCAGGTCCAATTCATCCCACAGGCCTTCAGTTTGTAACCAACCTCTGTTCTATCACATCATTCTGTTTACTACTGTGATAAATTATACAAATAATTTCCTGTCTACTTTTTACTATATTTCATGTGTGCATGAAGAATTTAAAAAAATCATGAGAACCATGACATCAATACTCTAACAAAATTAATAAGTCCTTACCCAGACCATATTAAAATTCCCCCAATTGCCACATAGGACCTTAATATATGATTGTTGAATAAATAAATGATAAATAGATAAACACAGATGTCTAACAGTATAATTCCCACATCCTTGAAACATGATCTTTCTTATCAGAAACATTAGGATATCTTGTCAAAAGAGGCTTCATTTTCAAATTTTGAAAGGTGGAGAATTGGTTCAGCTAGTACTCTTCTAGTCACACAGATGAAAACGAAGAGTAAAACCCCATAGTGGATATTTACCCAAGAAAGATGACATATCTCTGCACAAATACTTGTGCAAGAATATTCATGATAATTAAGCACTGGAAACACCAAATATGCATCAATTGGTGAATGGATAAACAAACTATGATATATTCATACAATGAAATACTACTCAGCAATAAGAGAATAAAATAAAAATCAATGTGAATGGATGTCAAAAATATTATGCTATATAAAATAAGCCAGACACAACAGTACATATTGTATGATTCTATTTATGTAAAATTCTAGAGCAGGTAAAACTAATCTATGGTGGAAAACTAGCAGAATAGTGGTTGTTGGGTACCCAGTACTCCTACTGGGTAGGAGTATAAAAGAAGTTTATGGGGTGTGGTAATGTTTATAGAGGTTTTGGTTACATTGATGTATACATTTGTCAAAACACCGAATGGCACACTTAAGATTTATGCATGTCTTTATATGCAAATTTCACCCAAAAAAGAATGATAAAATATATAGGTAGGTGTATATTGATATCTGATACTTACTTTGAAATGTATCAAAAAATAAGATGGCTTGATGGGAGATGGATAGAGGGATGGATTTGTGGAAAGACAGGTGATAAAGTAACATAGCAAATGTTAGTGGTGGACTCCAAATGCTAGGTATACAGGTGAGCCTGTGGATATATATGACTTAGCCTTTTTGAGATCCTTGCTGATCTGCTCTGAGTCTGCAATGCTCTTCCACTGCCCTTCACTTCCAGTTTTTGTGTAAACTGGTAGCTTTTTGGCCATATCGATGAGCATCTGCTTCTGGACCTCAGGTCTTTCTTCATTTTCATAGCGTTCTTTGTCTGAATAGGACAAGTGGAACTAGAAGCAGAAGTGAAAAGTGAGACTTTATTCTCCAAGATTCGAATAAAAGATTAAAACAATAATAATTATTCAGATGAAAATATTTGTTACCTATCCTTGAAGTCCAGATACCAATTTGGCTTATAACTTTCTCAGGATAAATATCTGAATTATTTTATTTGACTTTTATCTCAGTCTTCATAAGTCTATGTGATAGGTGGTATTGTTTTATAAATAAAGAAAAGAAAACTTAGTGAGGTTAAGTACTTTTTCCATGGTTATACTCATTTAAGCAGCATGTAGCAAAACTGAGCTCTAAACCCAGTTCACTTGATTCTAAGATTTATGCCCTTTCCACCCCATTATACCATAATATGATGTTATATACAGATATGTAACATCTTGCTGTCAGGACCCTGTTGATGATTAACTATGATTGTTATTAAGTTGTAGGGTTTTTTTTCACACCTGTCAGAATGGCTAAAATTAACAACACAAGAAATAATAGGTATTGGTGAGGATGAGGAGAAAGGGGAACTGTCTTGCACTTTTGGTGGGAACGCAAACTAGTGCAGCCACTCTGCAGAACAGTATGGATGTTCCTCAAAAAGTTAAAAATAGAATAGTGCAATTGCACTACTAGGTATTTAACCAAAGGATACAAAACTACTGATTTGAAGGGTTACATGCGCCCCGATGTTTATAGCAGCATTATCAATAATAACCAAGCTATGGAGAGAGCCCAAATATCCACTGACTGATGAATGGATAAAGAAGATGTGGGATATATATGTATAGTCAGAGAAAGGCAAATACCATATGGTTTCATTCATACATGGAATTAAAAAAAAAAAAACAGAACAGCCAATCATATGGGGAGGAGAGAGGGAAGCAAACCATGAATTTTAAGAAAACATAGCAGGGGCGCCTGGGTGGCGCAGTCGGTTAAGCGTCCGACTTCAGCCAGGTCACAATCTCGCGGTCCGTGAGTTCGAGCCCCGCGTCAGGATCTGGGCTGATGGCTCAGAGCCTGGTGCCTGTTTCCGATTCTGTGTCTCCCTCTCTCTCTGCCCCTCCCCCATTCATGCTCTGTCTCTCTCTGTCCCAAAAATAAATAAACGTTGAAAAAAAATTAAAAAAAAAAAAGAAAACATAGGAAAAAACTAAGGGTTGATGGAGGGAGGTTGGTGGGAGATGGGCTAGTTGGGTGATGGGTATTATGGAGGGCACTTGTGATGAGCACTGGGTGTTGTATGTAAGTGATGAATCACTGAATTCTACTCCTGAAACCAATATTGCACTGTATGTTAATTAACTGGAATTTAAACAAAATTTTGAAAAAAAGTTGTAGGTATTTTTCATAGATGACACTCTTAGAGAAGCTGGCTGAGACTGCTTGTGACACTGTATATTATGATCTTGCAAATGAGTAGAAATTTGGGTATTCTCACTATTTCAGAAATTTTTGGTCTGATATGAGGCTTACTGCTAATGTGGGCACCATAGTTTGCTAATCTTGCAAAAGATATGTCAACGATTTTCCAAAGTAACACAAACTTGAAAGCTTTTTTCTGTCTGGGCCAAAAGATAGGCAGAGGTGAAAAAGAGAAGGATCTGTGATCAGATTTTTAGGGTTTAAACCTCATCTCTTCCACTTAATAGGTAAAAAATCACATTGGAAAATCAGGCACCCTCAACCCAAGTTTCTTCATCTGTAAAATAGAAGAAATTATATCCACTTCATAAGATTGTTGTAAAAACACTGGATAATAAGTAATTAAAAGTTATGTTTAGAGTCTAATTTATTTTATTAATTTATTTTTGAGGTGGGGAGGGGAAGAGAGAGACGGAGAGAGAGAATCCCAAGCAGCCTCTGCACTGTCAGTGAAGGGTCCGATGTGGGGCTCAATCTCATGAACCATGAGATGAGGACCTGAGCCAAAACCAAGAGTTAGACGCTTAAGCCGACTGAGCCCCCCAGGTGCCCTACAAGTACATTTTCTTAAATCATTTAAAAATACTTGATATTGTCATTTTATATTTTTTATTTTTTTTAAGTTCATTTATCTTAGAGAGAGACAAAGAGAGCAGGGGAGGGGCAGAGAGACAGGAGGAGAGAGAGAGAATCCCTAGCAGGCTCTGCTGTCAGTACAGAGCCCTATGTAGGCTGAAACTCATGATAGTTTGGCTACTGTTGACAGTGTTGTTATAACATTGAGTGCATGTGTCCCTTCGAATCAGCACACCTGTATCCTGTGGATAAATGCCTAGTAATGCAATTGCTGGCTCATAGGGTAGTTCTCTTTTTAGTTTTTTGAGGAACCTCCATACTGTTTTCCAGAGTGGCTGCACCAGCTTGCATTCCCACCAACAATGCAAAAGAGATCCTCTTTCTCCGCATCCTCGCCAACATCTGTTGTTGCCTGAGTTGTTCATGTTAGCCATTCTGACAGGTGTGAGGTGGTATCTCATTGTGGTTTTGATTTATATTTCTCTGATTATGAGTGATGTTGAGCATTTTAGCATGTGTTGGTTGACCATCTGGATGTCTTCCTTGGAGAAGTGTCTATTCATGTCTTTTGCCCATTTCTTCACTGGATTATCTGGTTTTTGGGTGTTTAGTTTGATAAGTTATAGATTTTGGATACTAACCCTTTACCTGATATGTCGTTTGCAAATCTCTTCTCCCATTCTCCTGGTTGCCTTTTAGTTTTGCTGACTGTTTCCTTCGCTGTGCAGAAGCTTTTTATTTTGATGAGGTCCCAGTAGTTCATTTTTGTATTTGTTTCCCTTGCCTCTGGAGTCGTGTTGAGAAAGAAGTTGCTGCGGGCAAGATCAAAGAGGTTTTTGCCTGCTTTCTCCTCGAGGATTTTGATGGCTTCCTTTCTTCCATTGAAGGCTTCCACCCATTTTGAGTTTATTTTTGTGTATGGTGTAAGAAAGTGGTCCAGGTTCATTGTTCTGCATGTTGCTGTCTAGTTTTAACAGCACCACTTGCTGAAGAGACTGTCTTTATTGTTTTGGATATTCTTTCCTACTTTGTCAAAGATTAGTTGGCCATATGTTTGTGGGTCAATTTCTGGGTTTTGTATTCTGTTCCATTGATCTGAGTGTCTGTTTTTGTGCCAGTACTATACTGGCATGATGATTACGGCTTTGTAGTAGGGCTTCAAGTCTGGGATTGTGATGCCTCCTGATTTGGTTTGCTTTTTCTTTTTCTTTTTCTTTTTTTTTTTCAACATTTATTTATTTTTGGGACAGAGCGAGACAGAGCATGAACGGGGGAGGGGCAGAGAGAGAGGGAGACACAGAATCGGAAACAGGCTCCAGGCTCTGAGCCATCAGCCCAGAGCCCGACGCGGGTCTCGAACTCACGGACCAGGAGATCGTGACCTGGCTGAAGTCGGACGCTTAACCGACTGCGCCACCCAGGCGCCCCTGGTTTGCTTTTTCAAGTTTGCTTTGGCTATTCAGGGTCTTTTCTGGTTCCATACAAATTTTAGGATGGTTGGTTCTAGTTTGGTGAAGAATCCTGGCGTTATTTTGATAGGTGTTATTTTGATAGGAATTGCAATGAATGTGTAGATTGTTTTGGGTAGTATGGATATTCTAACAATATTTTTTCTTCCAATCCATA